TTGCTAACAAGGTGTACCTTAGGGTCACCAGTGATGTAACCAGGTGTACCTTTGGGTCACCAGTGATGATATGTGAAACTTCCTTATGGCGCGACATGCATGCATTTGTGAGTCGAGTTCATTACATCATTGCATGATAAATGAGTATATATGTGATATTGATGATGTATGTGTATTGTTTATCTGTGACTTATATTTGTTGTGTGTGTGTGGGTGCTATCTAACCTTTATTTCTGCACCTGAAACTGAGTGAGATGTTTCTCACTCCCTTGTTGTTTTTGTATATGTTTAAATTATGTTGCAGGTGATCAGCATCATGAGGATGTTGGTATGAGGCTTAAGGCTTCAGTTGGGCATGCTCTGATAGGATGTGACATCGGGCATAGCTAGGCTTATTTTGGATGTTAACTTTTTAAAAAGTTGTAATCTTCTCTTCTTGTGTAATTTTGAACGTTCTTGAGAAAAGACCAAAATGTACATCTTTGTCATATTTCTTTTATTACATGATTTAAAAATTATAAATTAGTTCCTAACTAGGAGGCACTGCCACCTTTGCTGGAATTAATCTATATTTTTCTTTATATGATTTCTTGAATTTTTATACTTACAGGACGACTTTCTATGATTTATGAGTTACGAATGTGAATCTTCTACCTTATGATATTTGAAACAATTGTTTTATCCATGAAAGATGTTAATTATGAAAGATTTTATTTACTTTAAAGGAAAAAGAAACAATATTTTGTTTACATTTATTGTGTATTAATGTTGGGGTAGAGGGTGTCACATTAAATATAATTTATATATGGTAATTAGACTCATGTTAGAATTATTTTACTTAATTACTCGTAATAAAATATTAAATAATTTTTAAATTTTATAAAAAATTATAAAGTTAATTTATTAAATATATTTTTTAATTTAATAGTTAAATTATTGAAATTTACATATAAATTATGTTGGTGAGGAAACTTTATTATAAGAAGATTTTTATAAAAAAAAAAAATAGAAGAAGAGTTCTAGTTTTGCCTAATAAATAGTGAAAATATTTAATATTGGGTAAAAGTTGAGATTTGAACTTAAAACTTTTACCTTACTATTAGGCTACATATCACTACATCATTATAGGGTATTATATAGTATGTTCAAATTTTATTTATATATGTTATATTACATGTAAATTTCCTATTTTGTAAAAATATATTAATTTACATTGTTCAACACTAATGACCTACTCATAGTTTTAAAAATCGGACTGATCATCAAACCAGTTAGGGTACTAGGTCAGTGAGTGAAAGGTTGAATCGGTGAGTCATTAATTGATCAACCACATTACCCAATTTTTATTAATTTTTTTTAAAAAAAGTATTTATGTTAAATATATTTTAAATTATATTAAAATAATTTTAATAAAATTATTATTAAAAATATTAACTATTTAAATGTCGTTCTTTAAACCAAAATAAACACTACCCGATTCCATTCATAATTGACTATTAAAAGGTCATTCTTTAATCATTAGTAATTACTAATTAAGTAATTATTGACTTGACAGAATCGTCAAACAACAAATACTACAACAATGATAAAGCCTTGGCACGACAAGATACTTAATGGGTACATTTTTACTTCCTAACTTCTATATGCATGAGTTTAAAGTATATATATTTTATTTTAATTAAATTTATATTTTGAGTTCATTGTCTCAAATTTTTATTCATTGTTAATTTTTTATCTTGTATTAACTAGTTTATCTTATTTTTTATTTTATTTTTTTATAAATTAAAAAATTTAAATACATATTATACAATAATTAGTTGAGATCATAAACACTTAGTCTTAAACTATCTAATAATTTTTCATACTTAAGATCATAAATTAAATACATATTTTATTTAAAAATTACAAAATAAATTTGTTATATAAATAATAATATACTTATAACCAAAACATAAATACCGTAAAAAATAACTCATTAAAAATGAAAAGTGAACTAAAAAAATTAAAATATAAAAATAAACTAGTTTTTGCTAAATATAAAAAATAAACTAGTTTTTTTTTACTCCGCAAAAACTAGTTTATTTTATATATTTTAATTTTTTAGTTCACTTTTAATTTTTAATGAGTTTTTTTAACAATATTTATGTCTTAATTATAAATATATGATTATTTATATAATAAATATATGAGGAGGGATCATTTATTCTAGGAGTAAGTCTACCTAGACTTGCTCTGTTCATATGATATTATGTGCTATATGTGATGTGTGAGATAATGAAAAGTCATGTTATATTTTTATATATATATATATATATATATATATATTCTAATATTTTTCCTCTAACTTATAATCTTTAAATATGAAGAATTATTAGGTACTTTAAGATTATAAGTGTCTATAGTTTTAATTAAGTACTACATGACATATTTAAAATTTTTAATTTACGAGAAAATAATAATTATATTTTATTACATGTCATGTAAAAATTAATTATAAATTAAATGATTCCGGATTATTTAATAATTTTATTTAAATACATTATTATTTAAATATTATTTTAAACCGTTAAAGTCAATCTAGTAATTAATGAGAGATTCAGATAATGTAAAGAGTCCTAAATTTAAACACGGTGTCATCATCATAATTTTTATAAATAAATAAAAAAAACGTCACTAGATATAATTTTGGTTTGGCGCAATAAATGTAGTAAAAGTGAAAAGGATAGACGTACTCATGAACTTTATATTTTAAGATGTGATGAAATTTGGAGAAAATTTTATGAGCGGTCATTCATGCATCCTTATCTTTCTTAATTACGTACATATTTCGATCAAGAAGAAGACAAGACGCAACAAGTAGCCATGGTTGCTTTTATGAAGCTTCCTTCCTCACTGCTCCAATATTTCTTCTTATTGCTATCTGTTTTTGTGTGGAAAACAAGTTCAGTTGTGAAACTTCCCCCAAATGTATCAGTTCCAGCAGTGTTGGTGTTTGGAGATTCGATCATGGACACAGGCAACAACAACAACAACTTGGTAACAACAGCTCGCTGCAATTTTCCACCATATGGGATAGATTTTCCTGGAAGGGTCCCAACCGGTAGATTTAGTAACGGAAAGGTTCCATCTGATCTTATAGGTATCTATGTGTGGTCTCCTAACTGTCTTCTTTTTCATGTAGTCATCTTATAGTGTTATAATAGTGTATATAAGTGAATAATTTTCTTTTTATAAATCGATTTTATAAAGTTAATTAGGTTCTAACTCACTTTCATATCAGTCTTCGTGTTCTCCTTCAATTTCCATGTTCACTAGCTATAGATATATAGGTTCGGGAGCTTAAAACAGTTTTTACTACAAGAGAATAAAGTGATCAATGTTATCAATAATGTTAAAGGGACGACTTGTTTCACCTCTCAATGTATACACATTCTCGAGAGAATACTTATGGTGATAATTACTTAAAAAAGAAAATATATACACCTTTTCCATTCTTCAGCCAAGTTAATTATCTTTGGAGTCTTCACAAAAAATACTGGGAAAAATGATCGATGACAGTTTTACGTAAAGTGCGATTGATGTTAATCTTCATGCTAATACTTTGATGCAGATTATTAAAATTTTATTATTTTAATTTATTTGTATGTGGGTATTTATATATCTGATAGAGTGGTTAGCTGGTAACATACATTTTGCTTTCTTTCATTTTTATCATTTTAGTACATTATACTATTTATTATATTTATATTTTTTATTTTTAACTAGATATTAATTAATAATTGATATCCCAACAATAACTTTTCAATTTGATATGACTTGCTGAGAGTAGTGAAAACAATTGATGTTATATTTGAAGTTTGGATGAGCTAATTAAGGAGCTAAATATTTTTGAATCATTTAAGAAAAATCAAATGACTTTATGTTTTTATTTCATAATTCCTTTTTAACAAATTTTATTAGTGTTTTAACGAGTAGGCTTTAGAGTTTATATTTTTGTTTGGTCAGAGTTGAAATGAAGCCATATTAAATGGTGGTCAGTGTTGTCTTTAAACAGTGAATCTTAGTTTTAATTTTGCATTATTGTATCAGTTGAAGAATTGGGCATTAAAGAGTTTCTACCAGCATACTTGGATCCAAATCTCCAACCGGAGGAATTAGCCACCGGTGTGTGCTTTGCATCTGGTGGCGCCGGTTACGATTCATTGACATCGCAAACAGCGGTACGCATATATTTATCTGCTATATTATGGTACTAATAGTACGATTTAATAAATTTTTCCAGAAATATTTTATGAGAGGAAATTTAAAATAAAATTAATTTTAATAAATTAAAATTAATTTATGTATAAATTAATTTATAGAATTTTTTTATTAAATTTTTTAAACATATATATATATATATAAATTAGTTTTAGTTTATAGAAAAATTTATTTTTATTTTTAATTTCTAAAAATAATTTTGAATAAATTTACCTAAATAAACTTTGAATTTCCTTAAAAAGTTATTAAAAAGTATAAAATGTGAAAAATATACTCTTTTTAACACATATTTTATATTTGACTATAATTTATTAAATATTATTAGATGAATATTGAGACTTATTGAAATTTATTATTTTAATAAATTTTAACTAATAATTAGTAGTGGTGTTAACCTTCCTCTTGAAAATGAAAAAGAAGATTTATTTTGGTTATAATTTTTTTTAATCTCTATAGTTTCACTTTACTTTATATTTTAAAATAATTTTTTTAGCTTTTATATTTATCTTTTTCAATTACTTTTAATCTTTATATTTTAAAATAGATATTTTTAATCTCTGTACTATAGCTTTGTAGTCCTTATAGTTATTTTTTTTTCTTGCAAAGTTGTCTGTTTTGTGTTGATATAATAAAATTCTTCAATTTTTAAGTGTATAAAAAAGATATCTCAACAATGAACATTACAAATGAGAGTACAAAAAAGGTATGAAATTTTGAGAGACTTAATTTAGAGTAATTCTAACAAAATAAATTTGACATCAAATATACAAAATTGAATTAATACCTTTGTTAAGTCAACACAAAAAAGACAAAGTTACATTCAAATTAATGATAGGAACTAAAAAGATTAAAAAGATGCAAGTATAAAAACTAAAATTATCTACCTTAAACAATAGAAACTAAAAAGATTAAAAGGATATGTATATAGACAACAAAAATATATTTTAAATTATAGGAATTAAAATCTAAAATAAGTAAAATTATAAACACTAAAAAGATATTTTAAACATTTATTTTATCAATCATTTCTTCTCACTTTTTTTTTTTTGTTATTGTGATAATCAGTCATGTATATCGTTATCGGGTCAAGTAGACTTGTTCAAAGAATACATAGGAAAGTTAAGAGGAGTGGTTGGAGAAGACAGAACGGAGTTCATCTTGGCCAACAGTATATTTATTGTGGTATTTGGAAGCAACGACATTTCCAATACATACTTCTTGTCTCGTATTAGACAACTGCAATATGATCTTCCTGCATATACTGATCTTATGCTCAGCTCAGCTTCCAATTTCTTGAAGGTATGATTAATTAGTTTCATCTCAGCAAATATATTTAGTTCAAGCCTAAAGTCAATTACATCTATATACTATAGACTAGTCATATTTTCCTATCATACTATATATAGTTTCTTATTGATCCTCGTAATATTTTATAGAGATATTAATAAAAATAAATATTGTATCTAATAGTTTAAGTAAAAGATAATACTTATACTTTCTATTTTAAAAAAACTCAAGTTTGATATTGATTATAAATATGACATAAATATATAACTGGAATATTATCTTATAATTTGATATTGTAATGTTGAATTAAATATAAATTTTTATTGTGAGACTTATCATTAATTCATAAGCAAGAGGATTAATAAAAATATGTTATGAAAAAATCAAAATTATTCATAAGGTTTAATAATCATATACACTTTTAGCATAAAAACTTTTATACATTAAAACATAAAAAATTATGATTATTACAACTTTTAAAATAATTATTTTAAAAGTCAATAATAATGCATGACCTTTTATTTTTCTAAATACATTATGAATTAAATGATCGTATAAAATTGTTTTAGACGTACGTATAATACACTGTGCATCCCTTTTTTCTCTTATTCATATCTTTATAAATCGCAGTTGTTCTATTAATTCCAAAACATGTCAATTAAAATTAGGTGGCATCAACCAATCCATATGCTTTTAATGCTATCTTCATATATATGCTGTACAAATGACAGATATCGTACGTATACACCACAAATGAAAACTCTCGAATATGATATACACCACAAATCAAAACTGGAAATGACCAATAATTTCAGATGTAAGGAATAATTAAAAGCATCAAATAAGATATATTTAATTCCTTTAACCAGTTATTATAAATTAAAAATAGTTAAATAGCAATACATGCATCTACTTATGTAATTTTACAGACTAAATTTGTAAATAATATAACAAGCAAACAAATTCATTTTTTTTTTATAATACTAGCTAACAGAAATTACAGAAAGCATTCTTAAATTAATTATGGATATTTTTGATAGGATCTGCTTACATTATATGAAGTGAGTGTGTTGATTATATGTGCAAGTATTTTACAGGAGATATATGAACTAGGGGCACGGAGGATTGCAGTATTCAATGTACCGCCAATTGGGTGTTTGCCATTTCAGAGAACTGCAGCAGGAGGAAAAGAGAGAAAAGTTGTAGTAAACTATAACAACGCAGTACAGTTTTTCAACGCCAAATTGTCAGATCAACTCCATTCTCTTAATCACAACCTTCCAACTAGCAGGATCGTCTACATTGATGTTTACAGCCCTCTCCTCGACATCATTCTAAACTACAAAAAATATGGTAATTTTTTTTCAAATTTTACTTTTGCCTGCTCATTAGGTCAATATTAACTCTTCACATTCTTTTTATAAGAAATAAGTCACAGTATATTTTATATTATAACTTATTTCTTATAAAAAGGAAAAAAAACATTATGTATTTTTAATTTATTTGTAAGTGATCGATTGATACTAATGTGAATATATAAATAATAACATAATATAATGTGATATATTAGTAATAAGTATTACGATTGATTAATATTATCAAACGATCAATTCATGGAATAATAAAATGTATAGAAGTTTAAAATTTGGGTGGCAAAACAGACAATACTAAAAGTTGATGGAAAAAATTCACAAAATATGGAAGATAGGTTGTTACCTTACTATATTTGTATGATAGGGGTTGAAATACTCCTAGTTTTATTTTTGGGCCGGATTTAAAAGGAGGGCCAAAAGCCCAACTCCTAGTTCTCTATTTTTCAACCTAATAATTACCATTTACCCAAAATCACTTTATCTTATTATAAGGTAATAGATAGTTTCCCTTGTTCCAAACTCGCCACAAATCTTTTAATTAAGACTTTGTCATTCATCACTTTAACCGTAAAGTTTCTTAATATATTAATGATATAAACTTCTGCAACATGATATAAACTTCTGCAACATGTTGTACAGGTTATAAATTCGGAGACAGAGGGTGCTGTGGCACGGGTACAATAGAGGTTGTGTTATTATGCAACCATTTAACTCCCTTGTGTTCCAACGACTTGGAGTATGTGTTTTGGGACAGTTTTCACCCTACTGAAAGCGTTTATAAGAAGCTCATAGCACCTATTCTTAAAAAATATTTGAATGATTTTTTGTGAGCAGTACTCATCAAATTCATTCTACAAAGTACTAAACATGTAATTTACAAGAATAAACTATCTGCTTTTCTTGGAATTACAAAATTTAGTACGATAAGTCTCATGATCGAACTATTAGAATCAATCTAATTAGTGATAAGAGTTGAAGTAGTATATACAAAGTTTTAAAATTGAGTTTTGTTGTCGTTATTGTACTCTCAACTGATATGATCAAAACTAGTTTGATGGTTTAATGTATCTAATGTTTATGATTTACATAACTGATCTTGGTAATTCTTATGCATGTGAGTGATTTATGAATTATATAACTGATCTTTGTAATTCTTATGAACGGGAGAGATTTTTATATTCTTAAAATATATGTTTTTAATTGCTGCCAAAAATTTTAAGAATGATTTTTCTACTTTTGAAATAAAACCCCGGGCTTAGGCAATGTTGATATAGTTAATTTTCCACTTTGCTTTCAGGACCAAATAATGAATCACGTGTTTAATAAAGCATGTAATAAATTTACGTGTTAAATATAATTTATATATGGTAATTAAACTCATGTTAGAATTATTTTACTTAATTACTTGTAATAAAATATAAAATTTTACAAAAAAATTATAAAGTTAATTTATTAAATATATTTTATTAATTTAATAGTTAAATTGTTTAAATTTATACATAAATTATATTGGTGAGGATTATTAAGAAGAATTTAAAAAAAAAAAAAGAAGAAGAAGAGTTCTAGTTTTCTCTAATAAATAGTGAAAATATTTAATATTGGGTAAAAGTTGAGATTTAAACTTAAAACTTTTACCTTACAATGAGGCTACATATCACTACACCATTATAGGGTATTATATATAATATGTAAATGTTATTTATATATCTTATATTACATGTAAATTTCCTATTTTGTAAAAACATATTAATTTATATTGTTCAACTAATGACCTACTATATTGACTAAGTTGAAATAAAAAATATATATATAATTTTGGATAAGATGAGACTTAAATTTAGGTAAATGTGATTATTTGACATGTTAGTGACTACTAAACTAAATTTTGTTTTTATACATAATGATAGATCTACATGAGTGATTGTGGGGCAAATGCTCTACTAAGTTTTTGATGTTATTTTTTTTTATATATACATATTATAATAAAATATACCACTTATCATGTTAAAAATTAAGTATTTTCATTTTTTTTTGTGTTTTTACGTTGTAAAAAAAATTAAAATCAATATATTATCTCTTGAATTATATTTTTATTAGAAAAAATTCAAGTTCTACATCAACTAGAAATAAGACAATTAAAAAGTATATAAATGGAGGACAATTCTTATTTTATAAGTTGATTTTGTAGCTAGGATTAAGTTAGACGTAAACCTATTATTCTTAAATGGTATAAAGCTTTCTAAATCCACTATAAATAGGTCACCCACCATTTGATATACGCACTAAGCCTACTAGTGTTGGGTGTGAGTGTGTATTGGGAAAAACCCTAGTCTCATCTATTCTAAATCATTAACACTACAAGAATTTTGCAGATTAGCGAGATAAAAGTGGGGAGCCTCTGTCTCCAAGGCGCCGAGCGCGCCACCTTTCTCGCCCAGCGCAATTGGTAAAGATTTTTACCAAAAGTCTCTGCCAAGAGCTCTCCAAGCGTGTTTCCTAGCGCGCTCAGCGCAATTTGTCAAGTTTTTGGGCACAAGTCTCTGCCAAGACCGCGCTCAGCGCGTGTTCTTTATCGCCCAGTGCGCCCTCCTGTGTTAAGAGGAATTCAGAGAGTCCCAACGTGCTAAGCGCGCTACCACTCGCGCTGGGCGCGTAACTTACGAATTTGAAGGGGTGCGAGAGGGAAGGGTCCTCATTTGCCACACTTCACATACTCTCCTCCTCTCCTCTCATCCCTCCCATTCACTCTCGCACCCAAACTCAGAAACCCTCATCCTTTTTCACTCTTGCCCAAACTCACATACCACATTCTTGCTCTCAATCTGACCAAACAAGTAATGCTTCTCAACCTCCTTTCATTTATTTTTGATTTAGATGTTTGTTTCTCTGTACATTCCCTTCTTGGTTGTTGTTTTTGGTTTTGTTTGTTTGGGGCGATTGATTTTCGTCCACTCGAGCAGTTTTTTTTTTGCTGTTTTCATGTTGCTCTAGTTATTTTTAGGTTTGAAAGTTAAGAGTGCGCTGAGCGGTATGAGTACGCGCTCAGCGCGTCTTCATCTTTATGGAAGATAACTTGCAGTGCGCCTTGCACGTTCTGAAGCGCGCTCAGTGCCCTACATTTTGTGTGTACTGTGTTTCTTTTATTAAAATCAATTGCCTTATCCCTTTTTCCAATGTTTTGAGTAAAACATTGGTGGCGACTCCACGAACCCTCCTTTTGCGAAAACCACTAATCCATGGAGGGTCCCGCTTGGGATTAATATGGATTGGTGAGACGTTTTAATAAATAAATTGGATAGGATCGACAAGGTCTCAGTTTGAGAACAAGTCGTTCTAATAATCCAATACATTTTCAAAACCAAAAAATAAACGAGTCCAACCATCCTTCGCGAATGCCGAAAGCCCGTTTCGGGCCGGTGGCGACAGTTACAAAAGAGGAGGCCAAAGACATTCTCTGGCATTGTCACAACTCACCTTACGCAGGTCATTTTAATGGGGAAAGAACAACAGTTAAGGTCCTCCAGTCTGGGTTCTTTTGGCCTACCTTATTCAAGGATGCCCATGGATATGTACAGAGATGTGATAGCTGTCAAAGGAGTGGAAATATCTCCAAGAGACATGAGATGCCTTTGCAGAACATTCAAGAAGTGGAAGTCTTTGATTGCTGGGGGATTGACTTTATAGGCCCTTTACCAACTTCATTTTCCAATGAGTACATCCTTCTGGCAGTGGAATATGTATCTATATGGGTAGAGGCTATCCCAACACAAAAAACAGATGCTAAAATAGTAATCAAATTCCTTAAGAAGAATATTTTCTGCAAGTTTGGTACGCCCAGAGTTCTGATCAGTGATGTAGGATCTCATTTTTGCAATGATCAGCTCAAGAAGGCCTTAAAACATTATGGGGTGAGACATAAAGTGGCAACAACTTACCATCCTCAGACCAATGGGCAAGCAGAAGTGTCTAACAAACAAATCAAGAGAATTTTAGAAAAGATAGTTGCCACTTCTAGAAAAGATTGGGCTAGCAAAATTGACGAGGCTTTATGGGCATATAGAACAACTTTTAAGACACCAACATCTCTATCACCATTCCAGTTGGTGTATGGAAAGGCATGTCACCTCTCGGTGGAGCTGGAACACAAAGCCTTCTGGGCATTGAAATTGCTAAATGTTGACCTGAAGTCTTGTGGGGAGAAAAGGAAGTCACAACTTCATGAATTAGAGGAAATGAGACTCAATTCTTATTAGTCCTCAAAGCAGTACAAAGAACGGGTGAAAGCTTATCATGATAAGAAAATCTTAAAGAGGGATTTCTGACCAGGCCAATCTGTGCTCTTATATAACTCTAGGTTGAAATTGTTCCCAGGAAAACTTTGATCTATGTGGTCCGGACCCTTTGTTATCAAGGAGGTTAAGCCCTATGGAGCAGTTGAAATTGAAGACCCTGCTTCCAAAAGAAGTTGGATGGTTAATGGGCAGCAATTGAAGCCTTATCTTGGTGGAGATTTTGAAAGGCTGATTGCTAAGCTTGAGCTTAGCGACCCATAGTGGATCAAAAGAGGTCGTCAAGCTCGTGACGTTAAACAAGCGCTTCCTGGAAGGCAATCCAGATGATCTGAACTTTTATGTGTTTAAGTTTTCTTTTAGTTGCATATCTGATAGTGTGTATGTTTATGTTTTGACTGGTGTTTTGCATTGTTAGGATGGTAGGTGTTAGTTAGACTGAGAAACTAGTTATAGGTAGTTTTGAGAGTAGGATTCAATTTTTCACAAAGGGAAAGGATGAGAAACTCAGTTTTGGGGACATAGGGAAATTGGGCTAAGCTAAAACTCGCGCCCAGCGTGCAGGACATCGCGCCCGGTGTGAACACCACTGGAGCCCATTGTTTTCTTCGCGCCAAGAGCGTCACAAGGTGCCAGGCGCGTCACTTCCAGTAACAACAGCAGAAAAACGCGCCACTGAGCGCGCTCAGTGAATAAAAGTGGGGAGCCTCTGTCTCCAAGGCGCCGAGCGCGCCACCTTTCTCGCCCAGCGCAATTGGTAAAGATTTTTACCAAAAGTCTCTGCCAAGAGCTCTCCAAGCGTGTTTCCTAGCGCGCTCAGCGCAATTTGTCAAGTTTTTGGGCACAAGTAAAAGATATATAAGAAGATTGTGAAAATTAGCAGATCCAAAGTCCATTTTTCCTTTTCAGAATTATTCAAAACCACTAAATAGTGAGTGCTTAATGACCTCACCATGAGAAAAGAGAGAGGGAGAGACTATAAAATAAAATAATTGAATGAAGAGTAGTGAGAGAAAGAAGGAAATGAAGGACACCTCACTACAATATTCAGGTCTAGCACACATTGCACCAATTGTATCTATGTTCATATAATCTTTTTGTGGCCATTCCTTTGATCTTGAATAAACCATGGCCAACCTTGAGAATTTTAGCAACCCATACACGCACCTTGCTTTTGAATAATTTCAAAAGAATCTGCAACTCCATAATGCACATGTCCATCCACATCTCCAATTTTCGTAATTTGTTGTGCTTATTTATGCTTCAATCTTTTTTGATGAGAAAATTTCTGCTCGGAGTTTCATTGACTATGTGTATCTCTCTTCACCTGAACCCTTTCTTTTTTTGCATTTGGGAATATCTATTTCTGCCCGGTAGGTACTGTTCACCACCGTTCCCAAAATTATCTAAGGTTTGACGTGAGGAGAAGTAATCAGGAGACTACAATGAGGCTTCACATTGCTATATTTTTATGATTTGAGATACACGGTGATGTTGTGACAAGTAATAATGTATTAAAGCAACTATAGGGATCATGAGACCCGATCGAAGTTGGATGTTGCGAAGAGTTGATTGCTTCGGCATTGTAAATGAAGAATTCAGACAAGGGGTTGATGGTTTCATTCGAGTTGCTACAAGAGACTCGAAAATTGTCGATGTATCAGGGCGCATTCCTTGTCCATGCGCAAAATGTAGGAATCGATATTGGGATACTACATTTAATGTGGAAAAACATTTGTATCACCATGGATTTGTCGATGGTTATATGAATTGGACCCTTCACGGTGAGGAGACATGGAGGGATTGTGCATCAACATCTGTTGTCCATGATTGTGTTAATCAGAACAAAAATCCCTATGTGGATATGGTTATGGATGCTGCTAATGGTACATTAAATCCTGAAGTAGAAGATGTAGAAGAGGATCCAAATCCTTCAGTTGCAAAGTTTTTTAATTTGTTAAGGGATGCGGATGAACCTTTATGGAATGGTTGCAAGAAGCATACAAAATTGTCAGCTGTAACACAACTTCTAAACTTGAAGTCAGAGTTTAACATGAGTGTGAGTTGTTATGATCGAATGATTTCCATAATCAAGAGTATGCTTCCAGAATCAGAAAGGTTGCCTGAAAATTTATACAAGTCAAAAAGAATGGTTCATGAGATGGGATTAGGATACGAGAAGATACATGCATGTCGTAATCATTGCATGTTGTATTACAAAGAAAATAGTGATAAGAATGTTTGTCTGGTGTGTAAAGAACCACGATTTAAACCTAAGGTATCTACAAAAAACAAGGATGTGCCTTACTCAATGTTGAGATATTTCCCTATTATTCCAAGACTACAACGCCTCTTTATGTCTAAAAATACATCAAAATATATGCGTTGGCATATAGATGGAGTGCGTCAAGATGAATCAATTATGACACATCCTGCTGATGCAGAGGCATGGAAGAATTTTAATCATATTAGATATTGCGAGGGAATAGTGAGAGAATTGCAAGGGAAATATTGCGAGGGAATAGCGAGAGAATTGCTAGGGAAATATTGCGAGGGAATAGCGAGAAAATTGCTAGGGAAATATTGCGAGGGAATAGCAAAAGAATTGCTAGGGAAATATTGCGAGGGAATAGAGAAGGGTCTGCCAGGGATATTCAGCGAGGGAATTGCAAGGCCTTAGCTAAGAAATGTAGCAATGGAATGGAGAGGGGTTTGTGAGGGAACATTAGCGAGGGATTAGCGGGGAAGCTTGATCGCAAATTAGCGAGCAAATAGTAAGCATCCTTAATATAATTAGCGAGGACCTTAGCGAGGGATTGGCGACAGATTTTGCGAGGGATTAGCGGGGAAGCTTGATCGCAAATTAGCGAGCAAATAGTAAGCATCCTTAATAAAATTAGCGAGGACCTTAGCGAGGGATTGGCGACAGATTTTGCGAGGGATTGGCGACGGATTAAATCCCTCGCTAATTAGCTACCTGTATTTAGCGAGGGAATGGTCTCTCGCAATTTCATCACTATTCCGTCGCAAAACTGATTAGCGAGAGATTAGAGAGGAAATAGCGAGGGAATAGTCCCTCGCTAATATGTAATTTTCTTGTAGTGTAAAAAGACCTCCCATCATTTATCTACGTACCAAGTCCAATAGTATCAGACATAAAGAAGTGCATTGAAAAAAGTTCAAGTCACCCATTAACTAAAGATAAGACAATTAAAGAGTATATAAATGAGGGACAACCCTCACCTTACAAATTGCTTTTGTAGGGTTAATTAATCCCAAATCCATTCTTCTAAGATTTTTTTAAAAAAATGTACTTATGTGTAGTTTGTTAACTTACTCTTCCTAAAAAAAAATAAATGAATGTAAGTTATCAAATAATTGTGGATTGCTAACATATACACACTTCATTTTTAGAAAGAGATTATTAGCAAGTTACAATTATAATTCTTTTTAAAATGTACCCAATATCTTGTTAACTTACTTCTTCTAAAAAAAGCAAGTAGGTGCAAATTAGCAAACTTATATATATATATATAGAAAAGATCCGTTTACTTTAGGAATAAGTTTACCTAGGTTTACTCTATTCAATAACTAATGTTCTATATCAAATTTCAACGATCTAACCGTTGAATTTAAAGTTTTTAATACATATATCAAATATGTAAATTTTTAAAAAAAATTGAAAATCATTTGATAGTTCATTTCATGAATTCAAATCAATGTATAAAATAATTTTATGATTATCCATCAATTTTAAATTAATAAAATGAAGTATCAAATAATTTTTAAATTTTTTAAAAATTTGCAGACTTGATATATGCATTAAGAAATTTAATTTCAACAGTTGGATCGTTGAAATTTGATGTAGATTATGATTATTAAACAGAGTAAATCTATGTAAATTTACTCTTAGAATAAACAGATCTTTCCTCATATATATATATATATATATATATGTATATATATATATATATATAATATCATGTTAATTATAATTAAGTTAAATAAACTTGGTCAAGATGTGATGACTTATCCAAGTCAATATTATACTTTTTTATAAAAATAAATTTTTAATGTAAGAAATAAATGATTAAATAATTATTTAGTTATTTATATAAAGAAAAATAATTTGGAAGGTGTTGAAAAATGAGAAAATAATTCAATATTTTTAGAATTTATGAGATCTTGTAGGGAGAAATTGTAATGTACATTTATATTCCAAAAAAATGTAAAATTATATGTTTATTATTATAAATTTATGCATAAGTATTGTTCCCACTACCTAAAATTTCTAGATTCGTCATCAATTATACAATTGAATAAAATAATTTATATAATATGTTCTTAATTTAAAATTATATATTAATTTATGCAGTTTAATTAGTATATAATTTGGTATCTCTGTTAGTATTATATCAATTAATTACATATTTTTAGAGACTACTTTAAAACATGATATGAATTTTATTAAATTTATAGTCATGAAATATATATAATATAAATATTTTTCTTAAAAATTAATAGAATGTGAGTTATGTAATTTAATTAGTGACTTTTTGATTCGATCTTCCACTCATTAATCTAATATCTTGACTAATTGATAACATGACTGTTTTTAAAATATTACTATTAAAAATTACTCTCGAAGTATGTAACTTGACCTTTCCCCATTATTTTGCTAGGAGTTTAACTTTTAAATCGCTATTTAATAAAGAAATTTATTTATCTTCGCTTTTAAATTTTAATCTAGAAGTTGATCTTACGTCTTTACATATAAAAATTCATATCAAAGGCCTAAAAAAATTCCATTAGATAATTTGTTTGGCAATTGGATGTATCAAAATTGCATGATAAAATTAAAATATACATTTACTAAGAAGCTGTTTATCAAAATTGGATTCAATTAATCCTTTTAGTTAAATAAAATTTTAGATTCGATTATCATGAATAAAAAGAATATATACAATTAGGAAAACTCCATTAAAAAGGAGTTAAGTTCTTAATAAAAATTAATTATTAAAAAGTTCATAATATTTCATATTAATTACATGATTACTGAATCAAAAAACAACAAAAATATAAATATATTAAAAGATTGTCACAATTGATGTCTTTAAGGGAGGACGTTACTTGCAATTAATTCTTACTGTTACAGTAAATGAGAAAAGATAGTTTGGTATAGTTAGATGGATGATTTTGTGGAAGCACAAATAGGTTTGTCATTACTTTGCTCATTACTCTCAGAGAAAGCAGAAGAAAGCAATAGCCAAAAATACATACATCTTTCTATGAAGCTCCTTTCTTCTCATCTGGCTTCAATTTCTAACTCTCTTCTGATCCTTTTGACATTACTATTATTAATAGTTGTTTCTAGCAAAATAGAGGGTGCTGTGAAAGTAGCAGCAAATGTTGTGATTCCAGCAGTGTTGGTGTTTGGAGATTCGATAATGGATACTGGAAACAACAACAACAACTCCCTAACATCAGCTCGCTGCAATTTCCAACCTTATGGCAAAGACTTTCCCGGAAACATCCCTACTGGCCGATTTTCCAATGGAAAGGTTCCATCAGACATTATAGGTTTGATATTGCTCTATGCCTCCCAATTTCTTGCTTCTTTACTTTTTTTTGGGGAACCGGTTATTGACAGATAAAAGTGAAAGATTAATCTCTTAAATGTCGAATGACTATACACTAATAGATATAATATTTTTACATCATTGATGAATAAAAAGTTATTATTAATGATTTTTTTAGTTATCCATCGTAATTAACATTAGCAAACTTACCATGTACACAATAATTTATGATTGAAAATGTAAAAATATCTTATAAGTTAATGCATAACTTTTTCTTTATTTCTCTCTATATATGTATATGTATATGAAGGGTGTTTTACTTGTTTCAAGAATAGATATTTGTAGTTTACCTTATTTAATAATTTGTTTGAATTTGATTAAATTTTAATAATTCAATTGTTAAATTAAATTTTTTATGCATATATTAAATTTGTATATTTTAAAAAAATTAAAAATCATTTAATATTCTATTTTATTAATTCAAATTGATGTATAAAATGCTTTAATAATTATTTGTTAAATTAAAAGTTTTAAATGCATAATATAATTTTTAAATTTTTTTAAAAAAATTGTAAACTTGATCTATACGTTAAGAATTTTTAATTTAACCATTTTATCGTTAAAGTAAAACATAAATTATTAAGTGCAATAAATTTATCAAGATTTTTATTCCCTAAGGGGACAATTGATATACAGAAAGTTTTCATTTTTCTGAAAATCTAACATTAGATGTTTGTTTCTCACATTTAGTTTCTTATTTTAAAAAAATAACATTACTAGGAAACATTGTTTCTAGAGAATAATTTTTGGATAGATTTTCCAAAAATTATTTTCATAGGAAAGGTGAGAACTAATTTTTCTAATGTAAAAATAAAAATTTAATACAATAAAAATGTTATCTTTATTTACATATTTAATATAGAAAAAATATTTAGTTTTTATGTAACATTTAAAAACATTTTTATAAATATTTATAACCAATTAAACAAATTTTTACAATTCTTAGAAATCATAAATCTCAATATTTATAATTTTCAATAACCAAGATTTCTAAGCATAAAAAAATTTGCCTCGTATATGTCTTTTTTAGAGTAAATGAATCTCTAATTTTCTTTATATATATATAATAAATTTTTAAATAAATTGCTATCACCAACTAAGAATTCTAGATTCTCCAATCACTATAAAAACACATGATGATTTATACTTAAATGATAGTATACATTTCTTTTTATTGGCTGTGCATAGATTATTAATTATCTTATTTATATATAGGTACAGTTAAGGTACTTTTAATTTTTACAAGACAATTAGCGTCCTTTGAAGTATGTTTTAGTTGAACTTTCATTTTGGATGCATAATTGCGTGATTTTAGTTATTTTTTTATTTTATTTTAAAGTTTTGCATAAATTAAAAGTCATTTCTTGGCTAAAGGCCATATTCTGAATTATGTTTTGTTGTTTTCTTTATGGTATCAGCGGGGGAATTGGGCATAAAAGAGTTTCTACCAGCATATTTGGATCCAAATCTCCAACTTAGTGAATTACCCACGGGTGTGTGTTTTGCATCCGGTGGTGCTGGATACGATCCTTTGACATCAAAACTTGCGGTACACATTTTCCTCTCCCAAAGATTTTCACTTTTCACCATTCCTCCTCTTCTAACTCTGTTAATTACTCATTTATAACCAGACAGCTATACCACTATCGGGTCAACTAGACATGTTCAAAGAATACATAGTGAAGCTTAAAGGACTCGTTGGAGACAACAGAACAAACTTCATTCTCGGCAACAGTCTTTTCCTTGTGGTTTTAGGCAGCAATGACTTTTCCAACACATACTTTTTGTCCCATATCAGAGAATTGCAATATGATGTTCCTGCTTACTCTGAACTTGTGGTTAACTCAGCTTCTAATTTCTTCAAGGTATGCATAACTTTCATATTATTTTTTTATTATATTTTGGTTTAATTGCATTTTTTGTCATTCATATTTCATTATTTTGCAAAGTTTGTGATAAATTTTTTAAAATTTTGTGCATTTTGTTTTATTTTAATAAATCTTTGATGTCATTAATTAATTATTGACATGACATATTATCTCTTAACGTGATATATTAATTCTCACATGATGTGTTGACTATTGACATAAATCAATGATATGATTTATGAATGTCGTCAATCATCAATATATCATATCAATAAACAACTGGTTAAGACAAACAATTAGATAATAAGATAATAAAATGTACAAAAAGTTTGAAAGTTAATTAGCATAATGTACAAATTCAAAATTAGAATACAAAATTGCAAAATCATGAAACTTGGGTGACAAAAAGTGGAATTAAATCTTTTTTAATATAAAAAGTTGGATATTACAAGTCAAATTAAGAATTGAACAAAATAATATATATAAATAAAAAATAATTCTTACATCAAACACTAACTATAAGCACAAATCCATAATTTTAACATATAGAAAGCAAAATATTTAAATAAATTGACATAATTTTCCATAGTGCTCTTTGTTATTTAATGATCTGACATGGTATATTTTTCTTCTCTTTCAATGCAATTGAAAGGAAATATATGATCTAGGAGCACGGAGGATTGCAATATTCAGTGCACCGCCAATTGGGTGTGTGCCGTATCACAGAACATTGGCTGGTGGAATTACAAGAAAATGTGTAGAAAAGTACAACAATGCAATGGTGCTATTTAACGACAAACTGTCCAAGGAGATAGATTCCCTTAATCAGAACCTTCCAAACAGCAGGATTGTTTACTTCGATGTTTACAACCCTTTACTTGACATCATTGTAAACCACCAAAAATATGGTAATTGCAGATTTCACTTTCCCTCTGATAGAAATTTCTAATACTTGATAGAGCTTTTGTTTAAGAAATCGTGTATGAAACAAGTTGCAAGACAAAATTACCTTAATTTACCAAAACTTCCCTTTTGTTTCATGTATGTCAAAATCTTTCCAATTCTTTTTGTTGCTTACCATAGTTTGGTAATCATACTATTATTAATTTTTTTTTCAACTACATTTTTCTTTATTTACATTATTCAAATTTAAAAATTTATTCAAGAAGACCGAGTCTAATTCTATAACATTAATTCTTACGATTCTCAATGAATAAATAAACGATCTCAACTTTTTCTAAGTATTTCTTTGTCCATCTGCAGGTTATGAAGTCGGGGACAAAGGGTGTTGTGGCACGGGCAAAATAGAGGTTGCATTGACATGCAACCATTTGGATGCCACGTGTGCCAACGTTTTGGATTATGTGTTTTGGGACGGTTTTCACCCAACTGAAAGCGTTTATAAAAAGCTTGTGCCCCTTGTTCTTCAAAAATATATGCACCAGTTTGAGTGAGCAATTAATATATTTCCTTTTTATACAGAAATCTACCTCTTAGTTCTGATATATGCCAGTTTGGGTGCGACTTTGCTACCAAATAAGTTTTATATTTAAAAGCTAAATACCATGCATACAATTGTAGCATAAATAAGGGCCTTCGGAATGCATTTTCTTTGGAGGTATCTCTCAACCGAATTCCTTCACAAGGCAAGGAGAGGGATCATCCACCCTTCGGAAAATTCTGATTGTCCAACATGCGTGCCTCAATTTTTTAGTACAGATATTTTTCAAAAGTATGGAAGCGATGTTTAAATTGGATTGGGATTTTCTGAGCTTTGTGTATTGATTGCAAGGACCATTTTCTTCGATTTCTCGTCTTAGTTGTTGTTCAGTCTTAGTTGTTGTTCTTCGATTGGGATTTTCTTAGTTGTTGTTATAACACAAATTAGAACATTTAAAGAGACACATAGATAAAAACATATACATTTAGAGAAAATTTCTCACACATAGGCTTAAAATAGAAATAGAATTGGAGATCAACAACACTATCCAACATACATTTTTACACTCAAAACGAGGTTTCTCACTCCCCTTATCTCGCGTGAAAAGAAGCATAAAAATGTAAAAAAAGAAAATCTAATCAATTCTTTTTCTTTTAAAAACTTAATATCTCTTTAACCCTTTAGTTAATAAATGTTAGCATAGTTATCCAAATATCTCTTCCATCAATTAATAATTAATTAAATAATATAACCTTTAATTATAAAACTTCATAATATATTCATATAAAAATAATTATAAATAATTACTAAAATCAACATATTTAATTATCACAAAATATAGCTAATAATTAATAAAATAATTATTAATCAGCTCTTCTTAATAAATAAAAATACCTAAAATATTAATAAAATCTTTATATTATACTTTATGAAAAATTGAGTGTTACAATTCTCTCTTTTTAAGAATTTCGTCCCTGAAATTATCTGAAGCAAATAGAAATAAATACGCTTCCTGCATCTGACTTTCTAATTTCTATGTAGCACTTTCTTCAACATTTCCTTCCCAAACAACCTTGACTAATAAAGGAATTTCCTTACCTCTTAGTTGCTTCACCCACTTATCCTCGATCTTCAAAGGAATAGTTTCACAAGTGAGGTTATCCTTCAATTGAATGTTGTCATATTCAACAATATGAGATGAGTCATGAATGTATTTTCTAAGTTGGGAAACATGAAAGACACTATGAAGATTTGAAAAAGATGGATGCAAAACAATTTGATAAGCTATATCTCCAATCCTCTTAAGGATTTGGTAGGGCCCATATTGAATCGTAGAGTATGCTTGCGAGATTTAAGTGCTCTACTGACTCTAGTCCTAGGAGTTACTTTAAGGAATATATGGTCTCCCTCTTTAAACTCAAGATTTTTCCTTCTCTTATCATGGTAGCTCTTTTACCTACTCTGGGATGCTCTCATTTTATCCTGGATTAGTCTCACATTCTTAGTAGTTTGCTGAATTACCTTAGATCTTAACATGGAATTCTCCTTTGGTTCTACCCAACATAAGGGTGTTCTACATCTCCTACCATAGAGTGCTTCATAGGATACCATCCCAATACTAGAATGGTAACTATTATTGTAGGTAAACTCTATCAAAGGTAGGTAACTATCCTAATTACATGCATATTTTAAGACACATGCCCTTAACAAGTCTTCTAAAGATTGTATGGTTCTCTCAGTATGGCCATCTGTTTGAGGGTGATATATTAAACTCAACCTAAGCTTGGTGCCTAAAGCCTTATGCAAGCTCTCCCAAAATCTCGAAGTAAACCTCGTGTCTCTATCAGAAACTATACTAGCTAGTATGAACTCCAAGCAAACTCACAATATCACCTATGTACAACTTGGTTAACCTCTCCAAAGGGTATCTAATGTTGATAGGGATAAAATGGACAGACTTTGTTAGTCTATACATTATAACTCAAATAGATTCTAGATTCTTTGTGGTTCTAGGTAACTTAACCACAAAGTCCATGGAGATACTATCCCACTTCCACATAGCTATGTCTAAAGGTTGTAATTTTCGTGAAAGTTTCTGGTGTTCTACCTTAGACTTAATTTTCGTTAAGGTTTCTGGTGTTCTACCTTAGACTTTTGACAAACTAAGCAAGCATAGACAAACTCTTCTATCTCATTCTTCATCTTAGCCCACCAAAACATCTTCTTAAGATCTTGGCACATTTTAGTGGCTCATGGGTGGATATACTAAGGCTACTCCTATGACCTTCCTCAAGGATCGTCTTCTTAAGCTCAGGTATACAAGGAAAACACAGCTTGTCCCTAAGCCTCAACACTCCATCCACACCCACTCTAAACTCACTTTCTTCCCCTTGGTTCAACTTCTCTACTTGACTTAACAAAAAAGGATCTACCTTCCTCTCTATTCTCATCTATCAAGCCATTTGTCACTCTCAAGGTTCCTAGTTTAATACTTTTAGAGGTTAACTCAAAATTCAAACTAAGATCTCTAATCTCTTCTAACAAACTGAGCTCTCTAACCATTAAAGCAGACACCTAAAAGGATTTCCTACTCAGGGCATCAACCATTACATTGGCCTTACCAGGGTGATAGCTAAGTTCAAATTCATAGTCCTTAAGAAATTCTAACCACCTCATTTGTCTCACGTTGAGTTCATTTTGGTAAAAAAAAGGTACTTAAGGCTTTTATGGTCGCTAAACACCTCAAATCTAGATCCAAATAGATAATGCCTCTATAACTTCAAAAAAAGAACTACTATAACTAACTCTAGGTCATGGGTAGGTTAGTTCTGTTCATGGATTTTCAATTGTCAAGATGCATAGGCTACTACCTTCCCCTTCTACATAAGCACTCCTCCTAAACCCATCTTAGATGCATCACAATACACTAAAAAGGTTTCACTAGGGTCAGGTAACACTGAAATAGGTGCACTAGTTAACCTTCTCTTAAGCTCCTGAAAGCTTTCTTCACAATTAAGTCCCACACAAAAGGTTGGTTCTTCTTAGTCAACTTGGTCAAAGGCAGGAGTAACTTAGAAAAACCCTCTATAAACCTCTTATAATACCCAGCTAGCCCTAGAAAACTCCTAATCTAAAAAACTGACTTAGGTGTTTTCCACTCAAGTGCCGCTTTTACCTTAGAAGGATCTACAACTATCCCTCTCTTAGAAATCACATGTCCTAAAAATCTCACACTATCAAGTCAGAACTCACACTTAGATAACATAACATAGAGCTGCTTATCCTTAAGGGTTTACAATACTACCCTAAGATGCTTGGTATGCTCTTCCCTAGTTTTAGAATATACAAGGATGTCATCTATGAAGACTACTACAAACCTATCTAGGTATGAGTGAAATATCCTATTCATGTAATCCATGAATACTTCAGGTGCATTAGTCACAACAAATGGAATAACTAAATACTCGTGGTGCCCATAGCGAATCCTAATCTAATGGTAACCTGATCTCAAATCTATCTTACTAAACACACAAGCCCCAGCTAGTTGGTCCATAAGGTCGTCTATCCTAGGCAAAGGATATCTATTCTTAATGATAATCTTATTAAGCTAACGGTAGTTTACACACAACTTCATACTCACATCCTTTTTCTTCACTAACAACACTGGCACTCCCCAAGGTGATACACTAGGCCTAATGAATTATTTCTCCTGAAGCTCTTCTATTTGTTTCTTGAGTTTAGCTAACTCCTTAGGGGACATCCTATAAGGTCTTATAGATACTGGTGCACTACTAGGTACTAAGTCTGTGAAAAACTTGGTCTCCCTCTCAGGTGGTAAGCTAAACATGTCCTTAGGGAAAACTTCAGGAAACTCACTCACTAAGGGAATCTCACTAAGCTCATGATATTTCTCAAGTTTCAAACATGCAAGAATCATGTATACCTTATCATATTCTTTTAAATAAGTTTTTATCTTATTAGCACTTAAGAACACCACACTCTTACTCTCACCAAAGGATGTGGATTTTTCAAAATAGTTTAGTAGGACATGATTGGAAGATAACTGGTCCATTCTAAGAATGATATCTAGTTGACTAAGAGACAAGTAGATAAGATCAAACAAAAATTTCCTTTCAAAAATAACAATCGAACATTTAAGACAAATACTAGAAGTAGTTATGAGGCCATCTGTGGGAGTTTCTACAACTAGATCATAGCTCAGGAAAGACATAGGAAATTTCAATTTTTGGACACAAGCAAGAGAGATAAAAGAATGAGTTGCACCAGAATAAATAGTACAACAAAAGGATTTTTAACTGTGAAACAAATACCTTGTATTATATTATCAGACTGGGCAGCTTCAACACCACTAAGAGAAAATACTCTCCCAGTAGTCTTCAGAAACCTAGATTGAGAACTAGCTCCTATTCCTATCATGTGTGGCCTTGGTGGCTGCAGACACTGAGTACTAATATGCTCCTTGCCATTGTAGTTGAAGTATGTGATCTCCTTGTTAGGACAGTTATAATGTTAATGCCCACGTTGCCCACATTTCTTACATTGACCAATAGGTGTAGAAATAGAGCCTCTTGCACTAGTAGTACCACTCAGGAAGAGCATCCAACAATAAATCTAATTCCACTGCCTCTAGCATGATTCCCTTGAAACTTGGCAGGAGTAGAGTAAGGCTTATTCCTACTTTGACCATCAAATCTCCATTGATGGATATATAGGACCACTCCCCTTATAGAAAGTAGCACACGCACGATTGTCATGGTCGTAAATCCTACATTTGTTGACAAGTGTCGGATAATGATAGATCTCCTAATAATTGATTGTCATTTTCACCTCAGGACGAAGACCGTTCACAAACTTAATGCACTTAGCCTTTTCACCACCTTCACTATGGTAGTGAGAGCAATATCGGACAAGCTCATCAAACTTGGTAGTATACTCAGCAATAGTACCATCTTCTTGCTTCAGCTCAATGAATTCCATCTCTTTTTGACTCCTCACATTGTCAGGAAAATACTTCTCAAAGGAAACCCTCTTGAAGTTATCTCAATTAACCAGCGTTGCTTCAACCATCATCCTTTGCAAAGCTTCTTCCCACTAGAAGTAAGCATCAGATGTCAACATGAAAGTAGTAAGATTCACTATTTGATTTGTAGGAAACTCCATAGCCTTAAAGATTTTCTTAATATCGGTCAACCAAATCATAGTTCCTTCTAGATTGTATCCTCCCTTAAAAGAGGGAAGATGGTTACACTAAAATTGCTCTAACCAGCTTGGAGCAATTCTAGCTCTATCAGTCTCTATAGCTCTTGCTAATGCTTCAAGAGCGTCAACAATAGCGCGATCATTCCTACCAGCCATAATTCTGACATACAATAAT